ATCTCAATTCTTGCAACGTGCAAAGAAAGAGGAGCAGAGGGAGAAATAATAACAAAGAGCTGTCATTTTCAATAAAACCTGTTCTTCTTTTGCTCATCATGAAAACTGGATGCGCGAGTCATCTTTAAAGCTCCTCGCAGACTGTGAAAGAGCTTTCGTCAAGATGCCAATTTGAGTGTGATAAATATGTAGCAAACAGCATTCAAGTCATAAAATATTTCATGTTCAGAAATATCCTGCACGGCTTCTTACATTAAAAAAGGAATATATGCGTGGAACACTTGAATGATCCAGAAGTATCATTTGCACATGGGTCCTTGTAAAAACAAAAAAAAGATGCAAAACAATATAATAAGGACCGCAGCTGCATCGAGTGACACAAATCTTCATTTCCTGTCTTAATCTGTAATGTCTATTTTAGCCTGAGTTGTTTTGTCCCTGTTCTGTAGCCCAGCTGTGTATTTCAGTATAATAGAGGATTCCGTGAGCGTCCGTACTGTGCAATAATGAAAAACGCCCCACACTGCAAGAGGAAATAGAAGATTTCATAATCCGTCGGAGGCCTTGGCCCTGGTTGCCGGTCCATGGAGAGAGTCTCATTAAAACTTCTCATTAGCGACACACTGAGCTTCTGTAATGACTAAATGCATATACAAATCACCTCAGACATGAAAGGAGGGACAACAACAACGCACCCAGGCTGAATCCCCGTGCTGCCAAGTCCTCTGATAAGAGCATTTGTACTTGGCAAATTGAACAGTATTGTGAAGAATGGATACCCCATTACATTCTGTAACTCACCTACTCAAAATACTGTGCACTAAACCTCGAGACCTAATCAACTGTTTAACCAAATATACTTTCTAAAAGGGGGACTCCAAACAATACACATTTGATCTGCATCTCTTGTGGAAAGCCATCATAAATCAAATCAATGGGCCCTTTCATCTACTGCACTGTAAATGTGTTCTGTTCATTTGAATATATGAATTCTTAAAAGGGCTGTAATGGTCACACTTACGGTGTAATCTCAGACCCTTTCAGTGTGATGAGTGGCATGGTGTCATGATTGCTTGTGTTTGGTGCAGAGGTGCTGAGACTGTGTGGCTGAAGGCTTTTTTTGACTTGACATGCAATCATATTTTGTATTACCCGCCAGTCACATAGTAAGGACTGAAATGAGTGGGCCAAGCAGCATGCTTCTATGGGAAGGACAAATAAAAGTCAGCAAACAGTGCAGCACATAACTCCTCCTGTGAAACCTGTTTTTTAAAAGGACGTTTCAACAATATACAACATTTCGCCACTGTCATGTGTAGTTTTGCAGTTTAATAAAGCTATGATTTTAGAGATGTATATATTCCCAGAGGTCAGGAACATGCACCACACATCTGATGAGCAGTAACAGCAAAACAAATTGTGCAGTCCAAGCTCTGAAAGGGTAATAAACTCAGATATAAAATAAAGCCATCACACTCTGAATTGACGTGAAAAAGATAAAGAGGGCTCTATGTATGTGTTTGGACACATGTTTGCACAGCCTGCATGACTGCTTGCCTCTGCAAATGAAACGTTGTATGAACACTGTGATCAGTTCACCCCCTTGGCTGGAGTGGAGCCTGGCTATGAATATCAATTTTTAATTCATCGGTAGCTGCTCCCTCTGACGGCCCACCTGACACAAAAGAGAATCAGCTTTCTGTTTGTGTCAGCGTTTACCAAGAAGCACTGCACGGCTCAAAAGAGTGCGCCCAGACTCCTTACCTCAAGGGCATTGACAGACTATGTGTTGTCTAAGTTGTATGAAGGTGAATACACTGAATGGGTGTGGTAGTTGTCTAAGGAAACAAACGATTTCTAAGCTTACAGGTATCAGACATCAAATATTAACATCTACATGTCATGTTTTGGCAGAATTACATGACAAGTCTCAGAACAATCACAGATCAAACGTTAAGGCTGAGCTTTATGCTGATATAAAATCGATATTGTCATTTGGGTCTAGTGATCATCTTGGATTTAGGATTTGGTAAATTTGGCTTTTTACTGGTTTTGTAGTGATGTCATTTTTCAAACATCAAACAGTTTTTACCAAGCTTGTCTTTTTCCTCATGTTCACATTACTGATGTTTATGTATCGAAAAATATCACGGTCTAGATAAGATAACATTCGCCAAACCCTAGCATGTTGATTCTAAGGTATGTAGGCAAGGCAAGGCAAGTTTATTTATATAGTACCTTTCAACACAAGGCAATTCAAAGTGGTTTACAAAAATGAAAGACATTAAGAGCATTAAGAAACATTTTATAAAAGGATATCTAGAAACACTCATTTAAAAGGAATGATATAAAATGACATTTAAAAACACTCATTTAAAAGCAAAGATAGTCAAAAATCTTTATATGATTTTCTCCAAACTGTATAGACCACCCTATTTAATATCGGATGGTATTGTATGTCCTCTAACAAACACTCATTGGCAACACACAGCTATAAATGGTTCTACTCAAGCCGTGTACGGATGATTTCTCATTGAATTGATTCAGGCAGTGAAGAATAGCATGCAGCTTTCTAGTATCAGACTAATCAGGGTTTGTATCGATTGCCTGTGTAATAATCATCAGCCTCTATTCATGTGTCTGCCAGTGCCACTTCAATATTGAGCAATTATTCTCGACAATCACAGGTTGAGCCTCACCACATCTGGCGATCATGATATGATTGCAGGTGCTGAGGAAAATGACTCACTTCCTGCTGTTATTAACAACATTTCTATTGTCCATATATGGTACAATATAATTGTGTTTTGTCTTGAACCTCATTTTAAACCCACCTATAGAAAAAGTAAGAAGGTTGGCCCTTGGTTTATGCTACTCAATCTTTGGGTAGGCATACTACATAATCAATGGTGTGATTAAATTAATTAACATTCATGTGCTCCAGAAATAATTGTTATTTAACTGCAAACACAAGAACATTCAATCACTAATGACTAAGACAATTGGTATTTTTTCAGAGCACTCATCTGACAATCTGGTCCGTCAAATCCAGTTCCACTGCACACTCACATCTTATCTTACACCTACCACTTCTAATGATCCAGGCAGAGAGATGGGAAAAATACAACAAAACAGTGTGCTGTATTAGCAGTGGGAAGGCAGCAATGACACAGAGACCCCATTGCTCACACTATGCACTCATTATCTGCTGTGACTCCAGGTCTTCAATATTAGCCTGCAATAAGCACTCTGCAGGACCATCTGCTCTGCCAGCACGGGTCATACTGAGGGTGAGAGAGGCAGTCATGGAGAAGAAGGAAAAATGGAAAGAAACCCCATGCTGTTTGTAGAAATAACAATGTTCTTTCCCGCCAAGGAAAGAGAATGAACATGAGAAGTGGAGTTCAAGATATATATATATATAGAAAAATAACAACCTAAGATGCAGGAGTATGGTGATAGCTGTGAAAGGCGGTACAAAAGTGAAAGTGAGTGGGAAAATTTCCCTTGGGCACAGTAGAGGAGACGTAGCTCAACATAGTTAGAATCGATTACTAATTAACACGGTTAATGAGGGAAGTGACAGCTACTTCCTGTGGATGCTACTTCCAAAGCATCTCATGAGCACCAAGAGGGTCATGTCATGTCTGATTAAAGATGAACTGATATGCAAGACTTGAATACTGAGCCTTTTAGGTATTATATTTATAATTGTCCTCATATAATGACACACCAAAAAGAGATATCTACTTCTAACCATTTCTTTCTATCATCCAAACGAGGTCCTACAGAGTTACACCCCAGATCCTGTGTATTGGTTAAGTGTGCACAGTAGAAGTAGAGGCAGGCTAAGAATAGACTAATGCTTTGAAGCACTAATCAATCTGGACAACGATGTCAAAGCAAGTCATCCACTGCCTAACTCAAGTGTGCACACACTCGAGCATGTTCTGGGGCAACTGCTGTGTTATTCAACTAATTTCTCATTGGTTTAATAAAGCAACATTTTCCCCGAAAATAAATAATACGCTCATGCATTCGTAAGTTACCCTGCCTGTATATCTTACAGATACAATGTTACAAAAAATGTTTTATGTGTATCCATGTTCTTGTCTTTTCAATTGTACTTCATACACAACATGTACATTCAAATCAAATCAAATCAAGGTTTATTTATAGAGCACATTTAAAAGCGATTTTTGGTCGGGCCAAAGTGCTGTACATGTAATAACTACAATCACATAAAAACACATTTCTATAAACACAATAAAAGACAATAAATTACAACAGATATTTAAAAAGAAAACAGGGAAAAGTCAGGAGTCGTGCTCCGCTCTGACTAAAAGGCCAGGGAGAAGAAGTGTTTCTTAAGAGTAGATTTAAAAAACCCTAGGGTCTGGGCCGACCTCACATGGAGGGGCAGAGTGTTCCAGAGCCTCGGGCCAGCTGCTGCGAAGGCTCGGTGCCCTCGGGTTTTGAGCCTGGTCTTGGGCACTATCAGCAACAGCTGGTCAGCAGACCTTAAAGCTCTTGTTGGGGTGTAGCGCTGGAGGAGTTCAGCTATATAGGCCGGAGCCAGCCCATTTAGTGCTTTAAAAACAAATAAAAGGAGTTTAAAATCAATTCGGAACCGAATTGGAAGCCAGTGCAGTGAGGCTAGAATTGGGGTGATGTGGTCACGCTTTTTGTGGCCAGTGAGTAGACGTGCAGCTGCGTTCTGGACTAGCTGCAGGCGTTTAATTGACGCCTGGTCCATACCCACGTACAGAGCGTTGCAGTAGTCCAACCTCGAGGTAACAAAGGCATTAATAACCCTTTCCAGGTCCTCAAATGATAAAAACGACTTAGTCTTGGCCAATAGTCGTATTTAAAAAAAGCAGGTTTTGACTACGCTGCTGACCTGCTTATCGAATTTAAAAGCGCTATTGAAGGTCACTCCAAGGTTCGTGATAGAGGGGAGGATATTATTTTAGTCATCTCCCAGTGGTGGAGATTCTTACCTTTTGTCTGATCTCCTCCTCCATTTTGACGGGGGATCCCAGCTCAGCCACCTGTTTAACTCCATCACTAGAAAAGCCACCGTATTCCCACAGCACATAATCCTTAGAGTGCGAGGCACCAATGAGGGCTGACCAGTGATTGGCACGACCTGGTGAAAAAAGATGTTAAAACATCATATTAGTTATTATTAAACATCCCATCCGTTCATAAAGTTATCTATCAAATGAATATCTAAGTAGTCTGTCATTACTTCTTCAATACCTTATGATCACTTACCCTTATATGTTCCTTTGAGTATTGAATGACTGCGTAGTATTACATGTAAAAGGATGCAATCAACAGCCTTGGGACTAAAGTGTTCTTTGTGATTTTCTATAATTAACATTTTTGTGCATGTATATATTCGTTTTATGCAGTTTCAATGAGTAAAGAAACACCTGTCCGTACTTTTCTGTTAATAATCTAATTGTAATGAGACTGAGGAAGTAATGTGGCACTACTTAGTAATTTTATGTTTGGCTTTACATGATAGGATACAAAAAGGTTAGTAATCACTAGATAATGAAGTGGTAATAAAGGACTCCTTAGTAAATACTTGTGGGAACACATAAACAGTAACTAATATTTAAACAATTAGAATAAGTCGCTTCTCGTTGTGTGCTGGAGTTAACGCGGAAACCTCTTGAAAGTGGTCAAATGGTTGGAACAGCCTGTTTTCTCATCAGTAACTTCTTTATACTCCTTTAGGAATTATGAGGGAAATACATATTAATGATAAATCAATAATGAAATCATTCTTGAATCGTTTCCTCACCAGTTTCTTTATCACCTAATAAAAAACCATGAATTATTAATTTATAAAATTTGATAGGGAGTTATTTAATGACTAATGGTTCACTAACAGTTAGTCCTTCATTTGTTCCCTGGTGACTTCTTACATTGTTGTTTACCGTATTGTAAAATCTTACCTAAAAAGATTGAATTAGCAGGTGTATAGTTTTCTACGGTGGCCCGGAAGTGCAAGACACCACAGCATTTCACAAAACACCACAGCATTTCAGAAAACACAACAGCATTTCAGAAAACGCCGCAGCATTTCAGAAAACGCTACAGCATTTCAGAAAACGCTACAGCATTTCAGAAAACGCAACAGCATTTCAGAAAACACTACACCATTTCAGAAAACACAACAGCATTTAATAAAACACCGCAGCATTTCACAAAACGCCGCAGCATTTCACAAAAAACAACAGCATTTCACAAAACGCAGCAGCATTTCACAAAACGCCGCAGCATTTCACAAAACGCCGCAGCATTTCACAAAACACAACAGCATTTCACAAAACACAACAGCATTTCAGAAAACACAACAGCATTTCACAAAACACAACAGCATTACACAAAACGCAGCAGCATTTCACAAAACGCCGCAGCATTTCACAAAACGCCGCAGCATTTCACAAAACGCAACAGCATTTCACAAAACGCAACAGCATTTCACAAAACACAACAGCATTTCACAAAACGCAGCAGCATTTCACAAAACGCCGCAGCATTTCACAAAACGCCGCAGCATTTCACAAAACACAACAGCATTTCACAAAACACAACAGCATTTCACAAAACGCAGCAGCATTTCACAAAACGCCGCAGCATTTCACAAAACGCCGCAGCATTTCACAAAACGCAACAGCATTTCACAAAACGCAACAGCATTTCACAAAACACAACAGCATTTCACAAAACGCAGCAGCATTTCACAAAACGCCGCAGCATTTCACAAAACACAACAGCATTTCACAAAACGCCGCAGCATTTCACAAAACGCCGCAGCATTTCACAAAACGCCGCAGCATTTCACAAAACACAACAGCATTTCACAAAACACAACAGCATTTCACAAAACACAACAGCATTTCAGAAAACACCACAGCATTTCACATTGGACGGAAAGGGTATTCCTTTAGGGAGAACACTTCTTGTTTGTGATTGGACAGAGCCAAGAGAAGCACTGCTGTGATTGGTTGTTTTTGCTGCCAGTCAAGAAATGACGCTTCGTGATTGGTCAGCACCCGACAGCGCAACATGTCCCAACACATCAACCGTTAGCTGTTAGCACACACTCAGAGCTCACAGCTCCTCATATCTGTTCAGAAACTGGACAAAAGTTAAACAAGTACAAACCACAGACTGTCTATGTCATGGCGAATACAGTCGCTGCTTTATTCTGTCTGTATGACGTTGTTGTGAGTGTGGACGGAGCAGCTACAGGTTAGCTTAGCCTGATGGATCCGATTCCATTCAGAAAACACGCATTTTAAAAGCTTTTCGCCTGCCGTCTTGTCTGCAGACTTGTCAAAGCATTAATTCATGGTTTTTACTAACCGGTATCAGTATGTAGTTACTTCGGCATCACTTTGAAACGTGTATTACAATTAAATCACCGTCAATATGTTCATTTTGTTGTAGTTGGTATCTCCCATAGGATTTACATGGAGATACGCCCCGCCCCCTCTCCAGCGTGTCTTGTTTGAATGACAGGAGCAAACACAGCTGACAGCCGCGGTGAAACTCGAGCGATTAGAGCGATGCGAATATTGGGTAGTCTACCATAGTATTTACATGGAGATAAGCCCCTTAAAAACCATGAATTAATAAAGCATTAATTCATGTTTTTTTCGCATCGCTCTAATCGCTCGAGTTTCACCGCAGCTGTCAGTGTTTACTCCTGTCATTCAAACAAGACGTGCTGGAGAGGGGGCGGATCGATCAGGCTAAACTAACCTGTAGCTGCTCCGTCCACACTCACAACAGCGTCATACAGACATAAATAAAGCAGCGACTGTATTCGCCATGACATAGACAGTCTGTGGTTTGTACTTGTTTAACTTTTGTCCAGTTTCTGAACAGATATGAGGAGCTGTGAGCTCTGAGTGTGTGCTAACAGCTAACGGTTGATGTGTTGGGACATGTTGCGCTGTTGGGTGCTGACCAATCACGAAGCGTCATTTCTTGACTGGCAGCAAAAACAACCAATCACAGCAGTGCTTCTCTGGCTGGCTCTGTCCAATCACAAACAAGAAGTGTTCTCCCTAAAGGAATACCCTTTCCGTCCAATGTGAAATGCTGTGGTGTTTTCTGAAATGCTGTTGTGTTTTGTGAAATGCTGTTGTGTTTTCTGAAATGCTGTTGTGTTTTGTGAAATGCTGTTGTGTTTTGTGAAATGCTGTTGTGTTTTCTAAAATGCTGTTGTGTTTTCTGAAATGGTGTAGCGTTTTCTGAAATGCTGTTGCGTTTTCTGAAATGCTGTTGTGTTTTCTGAAATGCTGTGGTGTTTTCTGAAATGCTGTTGTGTTTTCTGAAATGTTGTGGTGTTTTCTGAAATGCTGTAGTGTTTTCTGAAATGCTGTTGTGTTTTGTGAAATGCTGTGGTGTCTTGCACTTCCGGGCCACCGTAGTTTCCCATGATGATCAGTTTGGTACCTTATTCTGTTCATTGACAGACCCATACCCTGTTGGTAGATCATATTTATGGATATTTCAGTTAAAAAATGACTCCTTGATGCTCAGACACACCTACAGTGTATAACCTGAATTGTATGCTCCCTCATAATCCTTCAATCCCCTCTATCTCTATCGCTCATTATAGAAAAAAGGAAAAGTGGTTCTGTACATGCACTTTACCTTTACGCAAACACATTTCAGCAGAGGTAGTATATATGATGATCCATCAGAGGTTATTGCACAGGCTGAAGCAAACTTTAGCCTCGAGTCTTTCGTGTAAGGCATAACAACGCGTGGATTACAGCTGGACATAGTCTTGATAATTATGGGTCATTTTGCGGTATCCATACTACTCTTATCTGCGCCTCAGTGGTCTGATATGTCTACCTCAATAGCACATATTGTTTTATATTCTCCCCCACCCCGACAGCCATATTATCCCTCTGTCTTGTATGTTGTTTTATACAAAGACTGAAATGACACATAGCTACATCAACCTGAGAGCACTATGGTGATTTTACAGCACCATCAACATGGAATGTTTGTGTCCTGATGGGTCTGCCATCCCCGGTTTTCAAGATATAAACTTCACTTGCTTACGATAGGTCCTAACCAAACTGAAAGATAATTAGTATTATCTTTACATGCCCAACTTGTCCATGCGTCTGAACACTGTTACCGCTTATCTGGTCAAGGTGAGGATCCCTCAAATAGGTGATAACTCTTCCTCTAATCTGTATGCCCTAAATAGAGCCCTTACATTGCAGTTCTGTAAGTCACCCTTTTTGCCTTCTGCTGGTTTCCAGTGTGAGTCTGAACAAAGATGAATCACTCTGATAATCTAATCTCTGTGTTTGCAGTATCCCTGTAATAATAGATTGTGGAAACGTAAACAGTTCTTCATAGGACATTGCAGGCATGGCTAAAATGTATGTAGGACCACTTTTATATAAGCCATTTATTTGTCACGACTTGAACATGTATTTTTGTGAGATCTAAGTAGATATGTTTGTAATTATAGATAGATGGATGATATGTGTCCCCAGAGGGATTATTGTACAAGTTATCACAGGACTAGAGGTCCATGAGGGCCGATGTACTTAGTGAGCAACACATTTTGATGGAGAGTAATATGTATTTGATAAAAGGCATCCTTAAGCTTGGCATAAACTTGACCAACTTCCTACTTTGTACTGAATATTACCTTTGACATTTTTCACCATGTATGTTTATTAATGCATTATCTGTAAATACAATTGTTCACATGGTTAATAAATAGGTCTAGTACACACTTATTGATAATTATGTGATGAAGATTTTTCTAAAAAAAGTTGAATAAATGGGAAGATGTTTTCCCATTGTAGCATTATTTCTGCTAGTGCCTTATAAAGCTCCTATGACCTGTCCTTTCTGATTCTTTTAGAATGTTGCTTTACTGCAAGTTTAAATAGTCTTCTACTCAACTGGTTTACCGGTTAATGACTAATGATGACCATGATTGGAAAAGACCTGCCGGAGGAACTTGGACTAGTAATGTCTATAGCATCTCTTAGGGCCTGATCTGGATGTGTTTTTAGCAATGAAAGGTGCCCTTTTCTTATTGCTGCCAAAGGGTTTGTTAAATGCGTTTGTGCTCCAAGTGCGTTCCATTTATCTGCCTTACAGGGCCAGCACCTTGAGAGCTCCAACCTGAAAAATTGTGAACTGAGGGAACGTTAGTGGAGGATGTTTGTCTTCAGGCTATTAGAGAATATCAAAATACATCCTGAGTCCTGCTACCTTAATGTTTAAAGTATGTGCATTAGGAGACAGTGTCAACATGGTTAAAGTGAGTTGAAGAGTTGTGGATGTTTGTAGTGTAAAAAAGTAGGACCAGGATAAAAAACAAATTATATATTATATTATTTTCAAGTATTGAAGTAGCGGTAAGTCGATTTTTTGTCTTGACTGTCAAGGTTATTGAAAAATATTAGTTATCCTATCATATGAGTTTGTCGTTATAGCCCTTTATTAAATTCTAAGGCCATCTGGGAACCAAGCTTCCATAAATGTCTGGCCCTGGCAGGCAGGGAGTCATTGCAAAAACATAAATTGCTTTTAAATGATGCCTTTGGTTCACAGTTTTATATCCATCATCTCGTTCTTTTGCCTAAGGTTGAGGCTGTATTAGTTTACTTCAAAGGTGGGTAAAACTTGAAGCCCATCTCCTCCTTTTAATGCAGTTTTAGTAGGGAATAGTGCTTGTGGTCAGTGATGTGGCTGGTTTTATGAATTTTAATATGCTGAAATGTTTTTCATACGCTACAAAACATGGATGTACCGTATGTCCGCAACTACTACTTTTGTTTGTGAGGGCATCATATAAAACCATATGAAACCACTATATATTTCTTCAAGGGGAGGAAGGTGTTGGGTTGACAACGTTTACAGGAGATGGAAGGCAGCTGTTGTTTTTATATAAATGTTTTCATTCTGAACTTCAATATATTGCTTCCCTTGTGTAAGAGAAATTTGTCTATGATAGGGTTCTTCTTTATTTGGTCCATACATGAATTGTAAACTCTCTCTCTCTTTCTATTTCTCTATCTCCTACAACTCCCTTAAAACAAATGTGTTCCCAGTTTCCGAGCAGCTGCTGGCGCATGGGTTGAATTGCCATGCATTGTTGCATGACTTACAATGGGGACAAAAGGGAGAAAGAACATAAAAAACTGTCAAGGTTATCATGTTGGCAGTAAAAAAAGAAAAAGTCTAGTTGGCCTGTTTTATAGTGAATTTTTGGTCTGGAATCTGTGTCACCACAATGGTCCTTTACTTTAAGGACATACCAATGTTAAAAATAGAGGGGTGACAAAAAACATTCAGGTAGCAAAAAAATGCCTTAATAACACTTGGACCAGAAGGGAAAAGTAAGAAAATAGTTTGTGTGAAAAACACAAATGATAACAGATTATCAATTCTTTACTGTTTTGAAGCCAGTGAATAATATTGTTCTGTGCTAATCTTATAAAGTGAGTTATAAAAACTGGTTATCTAGGATATGAGAGGAGAAAGGAAACCGACACCACGCAGCTTGCCCTATCCTCTTTAAGGTTGATCTATCTGTGAGGTGTGTGTTTGTGTGCCTGTGTGTGTGTGTGAGTCACACACCAACTACTCCCTCCTTAAGACAGTAAATTAAGGCTCCTTTCGATCTCAGGGTTTATCTTATTCCACTCTAATCAGTATATTGATCTGACCGGCGAGTGCCTGACTTAGACAAGAGAGCCAGTGTAATCCTTAAGACCATTCACATCCTGATAGTGTGGTTCAAGGTTATAAACACGCACCCAACCACAGCAGCATACTGTAACAAACCACACACATCACTATTGAGAGCCACGTACCGAGGCTGAACTAGCCAATGTGTCGGACACATATCCTGATTTCTTTCTGGGGTACAGTGTATGTATAAGATTAAATGATAAGGCTACCAATATTGTAACTGTCAACAAATCCTATTAAAAGACCAAAACTCCCTACGTTTTAGTCCATGTCTCAAAACTTTCCTTACCAGTCTGTGGCACTGACCCCAATCCTCACCTTTCATATCAAAGATCTTGGGTGTACTTTCACTTTTAAAAAGGACAAAACATTTCTTCACGGCTGTGCAATGTGTTTTTTTTAACAAAAGTTAGCAAAGAGAAGTAAAGAGTGCATTTTTCAAGGTCTCATATTAGCTGCAGATGTGGTGGGCTAGTCAGTAGTTATAGCAGTAGAACAACATTTGTGTAATCAGCTGAGAATGAACTGCAAGACCTATGTTCATCATAATAAAGGGATTTCAACAAGTGGGATGGTGTTGCTTTTTAGAGAGCAATGGGGGTCTGTCACATGCCAATCTATGGAATAAACTATAACTTAGAAACATTTATTAGCATGATCAATTCATTGCGAGTTAAAGGTGGGGTAGGTAAGTTTGAGAAACCGGCTCGAGATCGCTAGAATTTGAAAATACACAACCGGAGAAAATTTGCCACTTCCTTATAGAGCCCCTCCTCCAACACACACGAACGCGCACATGACCAATGAGGGCACGAGATAAGTTTGTGCCCCGATGGAAGGCTGACAGGCAGGTAGGCCATCCAGTTATTTTAGCCGGGCCGGCTAAAATGATTGGTCGTACTTTTTACAGTATTACGGCTTCCACAGATGACATTTTTGTATGGATTTTTTGTCAAAGCACTTAAGATATTTATTGCTATCGGGATGTTAAGAGCATTCCATGGAATATAACAAAAAGTGTATCTTGAGCCGGTTTCTCAAACTTACCTACCCCACCTTTAAAGTCTTTAGCAGTAAAAAAATAAAATAGAATTTGAGCAGAATGTGAATGTGTGATGGAGCTGAGGTCAGATGACAAAAAGCGTTGGAGTTTGTGCTTACGTGGGTAGTCTTTTGGATGACTCTTTTCTGACCAGTTCCCGAAGAAGGTGACTCTGTACTTTGCTGTTCCACAGGCACAACAGTTGAGCAGAGGTTTCTCTGTAACGTCTCCATAAAAGGATTCTGTACAGTAATGATGGGAAAAGTAAAAGAGCCAGAGAGAGAAATACAGAAGACTGTGAGATAGAGAAATTGCTCATTAGTATAAAGCAGATGAGAGTTGTGCCCATCATATAGGAGATGGGTGGTTTAAGAAAGAGGAGAGCCAAAAGGAGGAAAAGAGAGACGGCATGAGAAATAGGAAGGATGTGCAGCATGGTTCTTTTGATCTGTTGCACAGTGTGACATCCAATGTCACGCACAGTCAGGGGGTCACACTCATTTACAATCATTCACATGCCGGAGCATAACGACAGAGAGGACTGCTCCTGCATCAAAATGGACAATAGAGTAACAGAAAGGCAAAAGGAGACTGTAAGTGGGAAGGGAAATTGGTAACAGCAGGGAGATTGAAGAAATAAGAAATTGATGGTAAATTATTTATTCCATGTCAATAAAAGAAGCCTACCTTTCTCACACATTCGCTTCGTGAGAGAGCCTTCATCCTGGAAATGGATTATCCTCTTCTGCACAATGCTCGCCCTGCACAGAGAGAACAAAATAGATAAAAGGCAATAAGAAGTGATTTTTGCCAATGCCAGTTCAAAAGCAAGCATAAGTGGCAAAACTGTGAGTGACAACAGGAAAAGATAATAAACATTTTCGAGGCACTGTGAGGTTTTAAAAATAAAGACCAGACAACTGGCAGCAGCGAACGTGGAAATGCTTGGCTTTTAAGATGTGAACAGTGAATTGAAGCAGGTGGTACAGGTGCAGAGTTATTCATAATCATTTTCCTCACTTCTAAAAGCAGGTATCAAAGCCCACAGGGAAATTGCAAAATCAAGCTGTCTTTCAGACCCAGGCATTCAATGTCTCATACAAAGAACACAAAAAGTATGCATCAGCTTAAAGATGCAAGTACATCAAAATGAGAGGCTGAAAGGCTAAAGAAAGTAAGACATCAACTAAAATGGAAATGTCTGCATTTAAGAGACCCTATGGCACTTTGTAAGACACATTTGCAGAAATGCACAGGCATACTATATAGTAGGTTGCGTCAATAAGAACTGATTGACAGGCCGACATTAACGCTCCCCAAAATGTGAGGCCTGGCAGATGGGAGCGCTGTAGATTGAGCTGTCTGAGAGGCTTGTTCTACCCGGTGGTGGAGAACACAGGTCTGAGAGGGGCCTTGACATGCAAATCAGCCTCAAACTAATCTTTTCAGAGGCCAACAGACTTGAGAAAACAACAACAGAAAACAAGCCTTCAGGCATTTAACTTCCTCACAAACACCAGCCTTGGCTGCAGGCAGGTTTCCATGGGGATAAAGCCCAACAATGAGATGCTGGATGGAGGTGCTGGGGGGGTTAATGTCTGATCCAGATGGACCCTATCCAGCTGGACTGTTTCCCATTTATTCTGGGGTATCAAACTAAGCTGAGCTGAGCTGTGCTCCATTGAGCTGAGGTGATCCCAGAACCAGATCCTCACTGTGAGAAAATACATAAACCTAGATAATGAGAGGAATCTGATATTCATTCACCAGAAAAATGTGTTAAACCTCACAAAACTTAATTCACAATTGTATAGAGTCATTTACTGATATGAATCAACTGTTTACATTAATGGACCCTTTACATTTCTTCAAGTTGGCCTTTAAAATACCTATTAATACCCATCTATTTATTAACTACAAATGTACAAAAATATACAATTTTTTTAAATATCAATGGACCTCAATGCATGTATTTGGATCCGGAAACTCTCTAACTTTTACTGTTACGTTTGCTCACAAGTATGCTAACATCACATTGTCTATTCTTTTATCATTTTTAAGCTTACATTACAGTTTGAGTGTAAGCCTTGTGTGGGAGTGATATCTACCAACAAATAAAATAACCAAGGATCAAAGAGCAAAAGGTCATTCTTCTAAAAAATGTAAGAAACAATAGGTAATCATTGGAAGTCTTCCATTTCAAACGAACATGTTCGAGTCAGGTCACATCCTGCTCACTGAGAGCAGGAACATGATGGCAGGTCTGCCTCGGGATGAGAGGCTGTTCAGGTCATAAATCACACAATAAGGTCTCATACTCTGTCTCCTGATAACCCTTATCAGCATACTGTCTTACATACACCACTACATTCAGAGAACAGAATGATAGTACATACGAGAAGGCCATATATATGAGATATTGTGTGTGAGAGATGGATCAAATTGATACACATATTGAAATATCATTTTCTTGCAGGCGTTTATACCAAGAAGATGAGAAAGACAAATAAACTGAAAAATCTGTTATTTTTATCCCTCATAGAAAATGTAAGGATAAGTATTCGTCCTCAAACCATCTTGAGTTAAATAACCCTTTTGGTTAATCCCTTCAACATGCTACTATTCTCCAACTCATGCATCATTTTTCCGTATCGCAGAAAATCACAGAAATTCACAGAAATTCACAGAAAATCACAGAAACAAATATCGTTTATTATTTCACATACAGTACATCGACACTTCAGTCACTTGGTCTTATACACATTAACCTCATCCACACACACTTTTATTCTCGTACATACACTATCATATCATTTCTCTCAGTATTTTCAATCTCACTTAACACCCCATAATTCATTCCCATACAAATATCATTCTTTCTCTCATGCATACTATGAGTATAATGGTGTATCTCAGAGATCATGATGGTGTGTGAAAGATCAAGCATAATTTATAGCCAAAACGGCCTTGCATAACGTGGATGAAATGATTGAAGGTAAGCGACACCAGCAGCACATCTCTAATTGTTCACACTTTAATTCAATCTCACCCCAATTTCACATATCTTCCTGAGAGAGAGGAGCACACTCTGCTTGATTGTCTGGCCGGCCCGGGAAAGTGGGCAAGCAGTGAGGCAGAGTAATGCTTATTTAACATCCAATTTAAATTCTATCTCACTTTTGCCGGATCCACACCACCACCGATCCCAATCACCCTAAAAGTGCACTGATTTGAATGTGTGTGTGGGAGGGAGGGAGTGAATATGCATTCTTGAGAGCTTAAAAAAAGAGACTTAGAGTAAAGGCTGAAAGGAAGGAGAGTGAGAAAGAAGAACAAGGAAAAGGGCAAGATAGAGTTTGTCTTTCTATGGTTATGTCTCCAACTGCTTGAATATCTGTAAAATAAGATAAATTTATTATTATTTTTGTTCTATGTGCAGATCTACAGCCAGAGATTAAGATTATTATCTTAAGTATCTGCTGCTACAAACATAACTTTCAAAAAGGAACTATTTTAGAGATACTACACAAATGTACTGCACAAAGCAAATTCACATTTCATTTCTGTGGGTCTGCGTGACTATAGTGGCCTATCTAAATCCTCCTTGATCTGTCCTATCGCTGTGCTGATGAGATTAACAGAATTTGACAACTGCATGTGGTTTTGACATAATGATCACTGATACACTGTCTCACTCAGACAGCCCATCAGAACACATCGCACTACCCTCCATATTGCACGCCAGAGGCGGGTGACAAATAAATTGCTTCCTATCCACAAATGGAAAGATAAAAGATAGTGGGCAACTTCAATGGCAACTGTAATATATAGATTACATTTAGATGTTATTTACTCTGGCTCCAACCATAAGGAGTGACAATAATAATAATAACTCCTGACTAGAGTTCTACTCCCTTAACTGCAGGTCATGTTTGATTTCATCACGAAGTCCCCCTCATGAGAAAAATGGAAGCCAGTTATGTTCATTCCAATTAGACATAAGGCTAAACATTTGATTAAGAAAACAATTGGCTGAAAAGATAGACAAAATCCCTCTTTTCTAAAATGTATATGAGAGTATGAGAACACTGTGAACAACAATTAGTGGAAGTGAGATTGGGACATTTACAAGGACCCAATAAAATAAAAGCATTTAGCAGTCACTTATCTACAATTTCCAATCAGCAGTAGAAAAGCCCTACTACAAACAGATAATGATTATGAAACAGCACTAAAAAGCAATCATTTAATGGTTTCTTCAGGTTGATTAGTTTTGTCTGTTGTGCCTCTTACTAGCGTTGGGTTGCACAGCCAGTTTAATTTTGTGGTTTCCAGTTGGCAGAACCTTGATTTAATGATCTTAGAGCCTTAAACACAGTATTTTTAGTAGTACTTTCGACGTATTATCAGCAATGCCACTGAGTAGATTTAGGCTTTGATTTCCAGATTCTGTACACTCACTCATACACATTAGCCTTACAGTACTTACACACACTACTATTCTCTGTCACATACACCTCTCTCAGTTTCCCTTAGCATGATGTTGTTAGTGCAGGGGTAAGTTCCACAAAAACACCCAGGAGAACATTGAGTGATATCAAATATATATATTTTGTTAAAACAAGAGTGGCGGGGACCGTTATGAAAAAAAGACCTGGCCTGATTTGTTTTAGCATGTAAGAAAGCTTAAAATAACTGGATTAGATGGTAAGCTTTTCAAGTCAGAGCTCTGAGTTCAGGAGTTAAAACGAGCATCCTTGCCTATCATCACGGACCAACCTTAGAAAAAACCAGACCACAAAGCTCAGTCTTTCCATCTAAAAGACAGCAACTGCCCGTCAATTATACTCTAGCAAACCACTCGGGAGTCTTGGGACAACATTTGAGTCACAGAAGCGTTTTCACAGAAACACACACGCCACACACACACTTCTAATTGCATGGCCAGATGTTGTTTTTAAATAACTATGATATTTTACATGCATGCACACTGACCAATATCTTTTAGGATACAACATGAATTTAAAAACAATTATTATCCCTGCCTATAGTGCTAATGAAAATGTCCCCCTAATATTAGCAATCATTTCACATTAGTATGATTCCTTCAGTGCAGACAACACAATAAGTACTCTTGTTTCCCTGTGGGTATAGGCTGCACCATAACACAGTCATAGAGTGTACTAAGTATGTCTTTCCTTCCTTATTGTTTACAGGGGGAAAAACACTTGTCAGTTACATGGAGGAGTTGAATCTCCTAATTAGACTTAATTTAGACTTGGGTGTTGCAGCACTGAGGCATACAAAAGCCTTGTCATCTTTACGCTAGAAGGTGATGGAAAAATCTACGGAAAATACCCACTCCCACCCTGTGATCATGATGTTCAGAAGCTTCTCTTTTGAACTCTCACATTCTCCCTCCCCTATTGTCTGTGCCCTAGTATTACTACATCAACATTTCAGCACTTTCATGCATCTCTTTCGAGGCTGTACGCTCACTCGCACTTTCAACTTTGCCGCTCTATCCTTGTGCTTAATTCAGTACAATTCTGCCACCATCCCACTCGACTCTATGAGGACAGCAGAAGTACCGTACGACATGATGTGCTGTGAGAAGACAAAGACAACACCACAGTGGAGATGAAAACGAGGACACGGATAAAAGAGAAGAAGAGGCGAAAGCTCGGAGCAGAAAGAAGGGATTTTACAGTGAGAGAGTTTATGTGAGATCTCAGAAGTTATTGAGAAGGCAAGTCATGAAGATACTCCTGAAAGATAAGGTCACAGAGAAATAGAAAAACATGTATTTCTGTCACATTATAACATGCATTATTAAATAAGAAATGCAACCTTTTAATCTTCCCTTTGTTTGAGGAACAGCAGAGAATTAATGCATTGATCAAAAGGCCTTGTGACTCACAGTCCCTTAGTGCCTCTCCACCTCGTGTACTGCCATTATTTCCCCACAGTACTGGATTAATGAATGGATTTCTACTATGATCGGTCTTCAGCTGAACATGACTACTCTTCTGTATCCAAGCAAGCCCAGAGAACACAAAGCAGCAGGGTTGATCCATGTCAATCATCCGTATGACTAATAAAGGTCATGAATAGTTTATGAAGCCAAGTGGGAATGGAAATTTGACAAGACATTCTGTATTTAACTCTGATTAGCTTGGGGGAAGGGATGTAATGAAACTGATTTACTCTACATGTGGAATTTGATTTATGCTGGTAGCGCAGCTCGCAATCCCAGAGAGCACTTATACTTTAGATTAAATAATTAAAACTTAAATGTAACTCTGTATGACATGATTGAATATAAGCAGATAACCAATGTAGAAACATTTAGTTGAACATTTTGAAAATAAAGGCTTTTTCATCCTCTCTTGCATGAAAAGTAACTCTCACTATCAATATACTGTACACTCAGTTTCCAGTTTAATAAGTAAACCTAGCTAAAATAATTGAAGTCCAATGAAAAAGTCTTGCAATAAATCAGGATGATCATTTTGGGAGATGTAGCTTTTTGCGCTGTCGAGCCGTTTGATTTGGAGGGAGATTGTTATTTAGTCTACGCTTGTTGATATAAACATGCTACCATATAATATATTCCTATAATCAAAAATTGAAGAACACAAAATGTTTTGGCTTCCTTCAAAGTGGAAACAAAACACATGTATCGAAAAGTATGCCTTGAAAATGTTCAGCAAGAGTTCAACATATCATAAATATATCATATTGGGAGCGGATGTGGCGCAGTGGGCTAGTGCCAATGAATTATTATTAATATAATTATCAAAACTGCCCTCTTCTAGACTAAAAGTTAGTTTTTCTCCCTTAATATGTAGGCAGTAATGCAGGGGGAAATAAATGACATCAACAAAATAAATGTCGATAGAAAGGTGCAGCCCCACTCTCCACTTTACCGGACCTCTCAAAGCATAATGAATAACAGTTCAACGTGTCCGAGGACCTGTTAAACTGAAAGTGAGGTCTTCCAGCAGGACTGTGTAGTGTACAACTTAGTGTGCGAACAGAGGATTCCTGCACATCATCGGTTGTGGTTTACATACTTAATGGAGAGACAGCCAGAGCCACTGGGGGGCGCAGTCCAGAACACCTGGATGCTGGTGCGTCTGCGAGGGGTGCTCTCTGTCACAGCAGGGGGGCAGTTGGTCATGAACTGAGTTTCCTCCTCATCAATTATCTGTAAATGCACACACACACAGATATTAGTGATTAAAAAAATGTCGTCAGACAAGACTCCAAAAGCACTTCGTACATCAGCATGTGATGGAGTTGGACCATTTTACATTAATTTCCTAAAACAGAAACAAAATTAGCAGCTTGAAATGACATTCATTTTACATCTTCAGGACACATTGATCGATTTAACCCAAAATTATCTCAAAATGCATAACATGACAGCTGTTGCACAACAAAGACAGCTATTGTGTTGAAATGAATATAATCCTCAGTACTGTTTCAAACGCAAGTGCAGGTGTTAGAGCATCCAGTGCAGGTGTTAGAGCATCCTGAAGTTAATTTTCCACCAATTGGTCACAAAATCAAACTGAGATAGGATTAACAGAAAAGAAGAGAAGCAAAAAACCTTCTGCCAGATTAAATATGTTTATTATTATTCAATCATCACTGTTTTTCTTGTGACATTCTGGATGCTTTTTCAGTCTGTTAAAAATGAAAAAGCTGTTAAACTCACAATCATATCCATCTTGGTTCAAGGCTTTTATTAGTCATACGTACATAGCTACAGTGTAGTTATGACGATGAAAATCTTAGGTCACAGGCTCCTCCAACAGTGTAACACAATAAAAACAGAAAAACAGAAAAAATAGCGCAAGTAAATACAAAAAGAAAAATAGTAAAATAGTGAAATAGTGCAATAAGAGTCTATATACAAGTGATTGGAATATGATATATTAGATAAATATGTTCTAAGTTGTTGTTTCTAATCTATAAATATAAGTAGATGTTAAGGGGTCACAAGCCAAAAAGAAGTTGGAAACCTTTGTATCAGAAAAGGAGAGATAAGAGATGTTACATTTTCTTTTTCCAGTCTTGGTAATAATCTGTCATTTTCAGCGGGTTGGAGATAAGGACACAAGCTCCTTCAGACCTTCCAATATAAAATAAACTGGTTAAGGCATTTGAGACCAAACAGCACAGTAATGAATCCAGTCGAGTAAATGGATGAGACTACTTCCACTTTTCATATCATATGATTCTATGGCCGCAGGTCTTGATACTGAGTCGAATTTCCTTGTGAATTAAAGTACATTTAATTTAATGAATCAATACTCAGATTGATCAGGAAGTCAACGTATGGACGCCCAATCATGACCCTATCCCTGCGAGCAATATAAAAAATAGTCCCTAGTCTATTTAAGGTCAAACTGAAGGGTCCAAATACATGCTGCCCTCTCTACTCAGGTGCATATCTGAGATACTGAGCATCTCATTGATTTTAACTGGACAGGAAATTAGTAGAGCGGGTAGCATGGGGGAGCGCAGCCAGCGAGCTAATGTTCACTGCCCAGAGACCAAGGATCTGTTTGATAGGAAGTGACATCAGGGCAGTAAGGACGGGGACTTTCTCACTCCATAAAGCTGTCAGCAGAGAATTTCCTTTGTCATGCCATGTTATGAATGAGTTCACTCCTAAAGTGGATTGTGTGTGTGTGTGTGTGTGTGTGTGTGTGTGTGTGTGTGTGTGTGTGTGTGTGTGTGTGTGTGTGTGTGTGTGCAGTGCATGCGTATGCAGCCTCGCTTGGTCTGAAGGATTATACAGCCCCCCCTCCATGTTCCCATGGTGTCTAACAGGCATCCTGGGGTGGTCTGACTGGACTTCAACACATGTTAAAACCAGAGAAGTCTCATGGGAATGTATAAAACCATCTGCAAAAGTGAAAAAAGAACCCAAAAAATCTAAACGTACCTAAGACCCATTTCTTCTTTTACGTGTCTGATTCCAAATGTCCAAATATGGTACCATTAGAAGGATAGTGAGTGTAGGGAAATTAGAAAAATAAAAATGTTTTGTCTCTGGGTTTTGCATGAGCAAAAGTGATTGGCTCGACATTAGCAGCTGGTCCGACCCTAATACTAACACTAAGATAAATGGGAAATATCTTTGAGTAAATTAAATGGAACAGTTAGCACAGAGGACACATGAAAAACATCTCTGTTGTCCTCATATCAGATTATCCTTGTGGAAAAATTATGTAAAGGTGGTGCACTAATAACCTCAGTTCTGTGTTTGTCTACGGTTATGTCATATGTTGCACCCAGAGTGGCACCAATTTCCCCCCTCACATAGCCACATTTGCCTTTTCTTGTTCTATAATCTTACCCTGCTGAGATGTCTCGTCAGACCGTGCCAGCATTGCCCGCTGGTTACGCTCTTGCCAACAAACACATACACACACACACAGTGGCAACTGACCTTCCCAGAAAGCTCAATAAAAGTGCTTTTCATCAAGTCGGGAGCTGTCCTGAGACGGCTGAGATGGGGCACACCAACAGATTTCAAATGAGCTGTATGTTAAATAAACCCTGACGTTTTCTGTTGCAGCTTCTTTTTTTCTTTATTTTCTCTCAGTGCCTGGAGGCCGGCCCACCCAGGGCTCTTTCAGATTACTGTGTGTGCCTCTGTGTGTGTGTGTACTTTTTTATAAAATACAAAGAACATAAAAGACTAACAGAGCAGGTGATGATAGAGGGATATCTATTTGGACAGCAGTTTATTTTTACTACGCTGTCACATGGTGCTTGTAACCAAACAGGAGATCATCTGATGCAGCCGTGAAAGAGACCGTCAGCTTCTAAAAACCTAGCAGATGTCTAATCAAAGGCGGGCGTCAGTAATGGCATATCTATTCTGTTTACTTTTGATGCTAACATCTAAAGACTATGTTCACCATAGACTGTATGATGGTCACACATCTATCTATTATTCTCTTTGCACACTCATGCTGCTTTCCAAATAGCATCATTTTTCTATTTACTTTTAGTATGTACTGAAGCCGTCCTGACAAAATACTTACTGTTCCCATGCAGGGTTATTGGGAAATAGTCATTTCTCAAAACATTGCACCTTGAACTTTAATCCTCTTGCTTATAAATCCACAGAGCAAAAATGTGTGGGTTAGAGCAGCCAGAAAAACATGCTGGAAAGCGTAGTGCAAAATGCAACAGCATTCATACTAAATAGTATTTGTATTGGAACACACCCTCAGTCTGTCTCATATACGTGTGGAACGCAAAGTTACTGAACGTGACTAAATGATGTAGTGCTTCCCGTCTTTTACTGCTGAGGTTTATCACCCTGTCACACGCGCCACACTCCGCCAAAGGGCTAAGGAGCACGCTCAAGGCTGGCACTAAATAACAACAGCATGAAATCAATTGCAAGGACAAATAAAAGAGGAAATAAATTGCCGGTATTGGCGCTGGGTGATGGCAGGACAAAAATAAAAATATTCCTGTTTTATGTCAACACTAACAGGCTTCTCCACTCCCTTCACTGGCTGCCAGTGGCGGCAAGAATCCACTTCAAGACGCTGACTCTGGCCTACTAAGCTGTGAAGGGATCCTTCCTACATCCAGGACATAGTTAAACCTTACACTCTAGCCCGTGCACTTCGCTCTGCATCAGCCAATCGGCTTGCTACTCACTCACTGCAATTTGGACCCAGGTACCCCTCAACAGAGACACGCCTGTTTGCTATCCTGGCTCAATTTTTTTTAAATGATCTACCCATTGATATCAGGACAGCAAAAAGTCTGCTTATCTTCCGTCGCAAACCGAATTCCCACCTGTTTCCCTTGTTTCACTTTAGCCCATTTTCAACTAATGCAACAGCACTGTATAATGGTTTGGCTTATTTGAAGCGTATATAGTATATACTGTATATCTGCACATTTTTCTTGTTGTCGGCTTAGTTTGTATCTTTATGCTTTATTGCACTTCATTCAGTTAATGAAATGTAATGTAATGTGATGTCCTACCATAGTCAGGGCTTAAGTTCACAGAGAGTGCAACAGCAGCAGGGATCAGAGAAGCCTGAGGGATGCTGTGAGCAACTCCCAGTGAATTGTACATGTTCAATAAAATAATAGGGTTTTCATGTGGTAGGCAACAAAAAAAAAAAAAAATGGCTCTTTAAAAGGTCTGCCATAAGAAGAAATATGATCTCAAGTTTTTGGCAGGACTCGTAATTGGGCTTTAAACTTTATGTGTGGCTTAATTATTATTTTTTAACTACACAGTGGTATCACCATGGTCTACTGGTTTTACTGTTCTAAACTAAACTCAAGCTAAAACCAGTTCCTCAGTTCTTTGAAAACAGGATATCATCTTGAGTAGTCTAAGATCTTTGAGATTCATAAACAGCAGCCTAGATCTGATTAAATAAATACTGGCAGGAAGAACAAAAAAGTGGAACGAATTCCAAAGTTATGAATGTGATGTTATGACTATGATACTTATAGTGTAGTAATACACTTTGAATGCATATAGCATATATGACCATTACATGATGCTGTATGTATAGAATAATACCTATAAGACATTGTACCATCTAGAAATAAAATAATGTCTTGAGTTTATATTTGTATTACATGATTATCCTTACTTAACCCCATCAATCAATTATTTCCTTCTCTCTAACACTCAACTCCTCACACTGCATTATAATTACAAAGGCCTCACATATTTGGCCGCTTCACACGTGCAACACCAGCTTTCTTGCCTTCTCTCTCTCCTTTTCGCAATCTTGCCCTCACTTAGTTTTTTCCCTGCTTACAATACTCCAGCTTGGCCTGTCAGTGTAAAATTATTATTAGCCTCTCGACTACATAAATTGTACACTTCCTACATGTATGAACCGTATGCCTGCTTGTGGGCACACTCCTCCCAATGTACCAACCAAGTGTATAACCTGAAGAGCAAAGCTACCTGGAGCTGAGCGGAGAGCATGATCTTTTCATATGATATACAGTGCCTATTAGAGAGGTGAGAATAATCACACTTTTACATGTGAAGACAGGAGGGCTGTGCGAAGAAAATCTGTCAAGACCCCCATCCCCCAATCTACAGTGAGATCTGTCTATTTTTTCTCTCTTTTCACACACGCCATGCACAGTGCTTGTGCTGGAATCAAAAGGAATGATGGTATGAAGGATGAACCTTTAAGTACCTTGCTTTAAATACAGGTCAGGCAGACTAGGATAGGTCAATGTATCCATACCTGCACTGATAATAGAGTAAAATAAAAATTGGAGTTATTTTCAGATGTCACCATCGGTCATGTGAGTTGCAAGCTTACCTGGAAATTTCCAATGTAGTCTGAGTCATTGTCTCCCTCTGTACCCTCTCTTAGGGCAATAAGGGTGAAGCCTCTAAAGTAAGAGGGGCTGGATGCCATCACAGTCACTGGATGGAAGAGTGACAGCAAGCATTAGTTGATGGAAAGAAAAATTAGAAAACAATCCCTCTGCTAGCACAAGACTAACGTGGGTTTAATTATCTAGCTGTCTGAGAGGTGTTGAATTAAGAACGAATACTGAGTTGAATAAATGTCAAAATATTCTGATATAATTGTAATAATGTCTTTGTCAACGATCAAACATTTTTCTAGTTTTTGAGGCGGTAGATCGAGATGGTGTTTTTTATGCAATCCAGCAGAACATAAAAGAATGTCCATTTACAATTGGGGGAAATTAAATTAGCCAATTTATTAGTATCTCGACTCTCGAGATAAGACTTTTACACTTCAAAACCACTCACTTCTAGTATATGTGATTGCAAAAAACCCACCCAGTTATTGGCTTTGGATGATGAATCTATTTATGATGAAATCAGAAAAGAATGGACTAACTGCAGAGCAACATATTGTCGAGACCAGAACAGCATGAGCCTTTGAGATTCACACAGCAGATGGCACATGCCCATTAATAGCTCCCAATAACTTCCACTTTGAACAAAAGCTATGAAATTAGGGACTGCTGGCATTTAGAAAATGAATTTAACGATGAAAGAGAATTAGAAAAAGTATTGAAGAGTTCGCAGAGGGATTTAACTCCACAACCTTTTCATTTTTGATAATAAAAGAGCTTTTAAGTCGTAGCCTACTATTTACTCATGGCTGTCAGCTTTGTTTTTTCCTTTACCGTTTAACTTCATCCTTGTTGGGATGCAGGATCATCTTTTTACTGACCACATAGTTTACTTTACAGAGCACATACACTAACGTCGCATCAAAAGTAGACTGTGGAAACTTATATTAAGTTTGCAAAGCTGACTGTCCTTGGACTAGTGTTTCTCTCACAATGAGCACATAGTCGCAACGCAGTGTGCGTAAATCTGGCGGATAAACACCAACCTCTGTATGTGCTCCCTGGATGATAGGTCTCCGGGTCTCCCTCAACGCGGAGGCGAAACTCATTGTTGCCCTCCTTCCGATTGCCCTGAGCCCGTAATATCCGACTACAATACCCGTCTCCCTTCCCGACTCTCTCTGAGGGCTCCTCGGTGAATGCAAACATATTGCCCGCTGCCGTGGAGAAAAAGCAGAGCAGGAGCAAAAGGCGCGATCGTATCCCGTTTGCTGTCATCATGTTAAAGCTAAGTTGATGCGCAGAGGTGAAGGAAATATTTTCAGCGAGAGAAGAGACGTTAGTTTCAGCGCCTGCTTCACTCCTAAATGAGAGCCCAACTTGCAAACTGTCTGAGTAGACTTGTGCACTGCTAGGAGGGTAGATCCATCCTGATGTGAGTATCAGAGAGCGAGGAGGAGGACTGGCTGGGATGCGCTGTGCACTCTCGCTTTACGAGAACTGCACACTGTGTGCCGCTCACACTGAGCAGGAGAGCAGGGGTCCGAGGAAATGACCACAGAGAGGAGTGAGGCTGTGAGGCTGTGTGGCTGTCTCCAAGGCCACAGCAATTTACAAACAGCCTGCGTGAAGAATACTCTGAACCAACAGACCGGGAACAAAGACAAACATTCCCACCAAATGAGTGCTGCGAGGAGGCAACACGTTTGACATACTTGGACTGAATCACTCACTCAAGAATCTGGAGGAAGACACCAAGGCCGCAACCATGGAGTCAACATTGGGGGGGACCAAAAATTAAACAAATTAAAAAGTCATAAAATAGCAATTTTATTTTAATGTTTGTATATCAGTTAGGCTATATATTGGGGGGGGGGCATTTTGAGCGTATCTGAATATTGGGGGGGATGTAGGCTATATGGTAAATTCGGCCTTGGAAGACACACACACAGCGACACACAAAGGAATTGATCAAGCTTGCTAAACGGTTGTCTAGGTGACTAATTAAACAACCAGTGATTGAACAAGTGTTGAAGTCATGGGCTGCTCTGTGAATGCTTCACTCTCAATTTCTAGGGTCACTTGATGTGAACTGATGAAATATGCACATTGCAACATGATCAATCTCAGTGTGTGAGCATCCACCTTATTCAACACATCAGTTAGAAAAGGCAAAATAACAAGAAACGTTTCCATTGTATTCAAATCCCAGTAAACAGGGGTTTCTAGGGACTAAAGGGAACTGCTCTAGGCTATGTTATGATCAACACAAGGAGGGAGATGTTACAGATTAATTAAGTAGAAGACGTTGGAGACCTTTGCAACAATATGCTTATTTATCCTTTTCAGTGAAATGAACATTTGAGAACACAGATGCTGTCATGTAAGTGTGGGTTGGAGGGCAACTTGTTTAAAGCATGGACCTTTTTGAGTACAATGGGAGAAACATTTTTTAAATAGCGCAAGTAAAATCATTTGACCACAGAATATAAAGTTCAGCCAGTGTAATATTTGTTTTGTAGCTGCATGTCTCGTGAGAAAATTAAGATGTTGGTCTGTTGTTAGGTTCATCCACCCATTTAAATCAGACTATAACATCTCACTATTTAGATTGCAATTACATTTTGTGCAGGCTTTTGTGATGTCCAGAGGATGGTGATTTATGGACCTTTTCTCTGGCGCCACGATCAGTCAACATTTCAATGATGACTAAATACCTATAAAAATGAGATTTTCCGTGTTACGTGCAATTAACAAATGTAAAAAGGCTAACATGCCAAACTAAGATGATGAACATGGTAAACGTTGCTACTCATCGGCATGTTTTCCTATGAGCGATGCAGATGTTAGCCTTTAGAGAGGACACAAGAACCCCCTGGAAGAGATACATTCAGATCTGTTAGAATTGGTTTAGTATGATTCTTGAATAAAACAGATGCAAATTTGCTCTTTATTCTCTGCTTTTAGGTTTCTACTAATCCTGCATTATCTTTGTCAGGGTAACATATGGGCACAAACGCTTTCACATTCACCTTTAGACATTTTAAGATCAGAATCAGTAATCAGAATGTCAATAGAGTTCAGGTACTAGACATGATCATGAACAAGTGCTCTCCATTAGGGAAAGCTTCCTTTGTGACCAGGTATAATGTATAGAATACTTGAGCATTAGAGTGAGATTTATCCGGAAATGAATGCGAATTTGCCTTATTTCTTGCCATTGCATATTATCCTAGGTTGATTTTTATGATTGCTTTTTTCATCAAATAAAAGCTCAAGCAATTAACCATGTGTTGTTTAACTCAGGAACAGATGCCTGGTGATTTGGTGGCGGTTTTAAAAGCTGAACTTTACCCAAGATCTACCACTTAATGCCCGTTTAAGTCCTTTAAGTTAGCACAAGTCTGGAAAACATATAGGCAGTGTTTAGACCAAACCACGATGAGACAACCTCCTCACAGGAGACTAATCACTTTTTATTCAAGTCTCATTAACACCCTAAATAAAATATTCTCTCCACATCACTTACTGCCTCTCTCTTCTTATCTTCCTCACCTTCTTCCAAAGCATATTGGTTTTGACAGTTGTCTGTTCACGACAGTTCTCCAGTCCCTGAAATAAAAACATGACACGTTACACAACACCGCCACACTGGGTGTAATGTGATAAAAAACAAAAAAGAAGTGTTGATGTAATCCCCCATGTTTCTTTCCCTGTTAATCTTGCACAGAAGGAAGGCTGCATTTTATCCTTTGTGACATTTTCTTGCAACACCCCCACTTTATTTCAGTTCTCAAAAGGGTCAGCGGGCATATAATGAGAAAGTAACCACTTTTGATGGGCACTGACAAATGGAGAGTGGCTTTGCTCTGTGCATCCACTGCTGGGTTGATGGATGGATGATGGGGGAGGAGAGACACAAAAACTGGATAGCAGAACGCTACACCAGCAGGTGTCATGAAAGCATTTTGTCTCACAGCCCTGCTGAGCTGAATCTCTTCACATCCTTCAGTCCTCAGGTTACTGCCTGCCTTTTACTAAATATACTCAGATAAGATCCGCGACATTCTCACTCTCTTTTTAACCAATGGAAGTACAAACGCTGAGGAAAAATGTTGCCTTGCGTAAGTACAAACAGCATAAAATTATTTTCCGAGATGTTAACATAAGGACAAGTCAGTCTCCAATTGCTTTGACTGCAATACAGCTTTATAGAATACATGTGTATACAGTATGTGCTATATCTCTACATTGTGCACATTATACTTATTGCAGTTTAATTGTTGTTGCATTTCTTTTGCACGTTCTGTAAAAGAGAACACAATTGTGAGCCAACAAACACAAGTCTGTAATATAGAATGCCGATTTATATATTTTTTCAGTATAACAGCACAGTTTTCTCCAAACCATTTGAAAAGAAGACAATGTCTTAACGTTTTATTGCTTCGTAACATTAGAGACGTTTCTTGGGATCAGTGGATTTGCTACAAAATCCCAAACCAGTCAGCAAAATCTGAGTGGGGAACTTGAATGAGTTATTAGCTGTCGTTCACTCCACAACTATTCTTGATTTGCCCTTGAGTGAGGCACTTAGCCCCCCAACTGCTCCAGATATACTCAGAGGCAATAGTAGGAGACTGTGAATGTAGTGCGTCACTACCAGGCAAGAGTGTGTGCAACTGGGGATGAAAAAAACAGCAATGCTGGAAATAGCCTTCAATCTGAGGTGACCTTTTCTGGACAACAAAAGTTGTTTAAATCATATTATATTAAAACTGATTTCACAAAAGTAAAAACAATATGTAAAAAGTTTGGGGCTGGTTGACTTGTTATTATATAATTATATAAAGACAAATAAGATGAGAGAAAGAAATACCACTAGCTTTGACCTCACTCACTAGACTAGAATATAGTAGAAATGGTTTTGCCTTCAAAAGAAAACCATTGCAGCATTTACACAAACAGAGACAGACAAACTAAAAGCATAATCGTTTCAGTTCAAGGATTCATGTCTTAAGTTAAAAAACAGAACTTTTCCTCGCCTCCGACATGAGTTTGACAACACATGTGGTCTGTGGATGTGTTAGTATCAGCACATGAGGTTGTTACTGTTGGTCTAGACACCCACTGTGTGTTTTCCTCTGTAGTGATGCCATGGTCTGCGGGTTTCTTCAGAAGTGGTCTCTTCTACTGCCACATCTGAGGGATCAAATCACAGGACCGGTTTCAAACTGTAAAAAAAAAACACTAATACTGATCTTAATCCCTACCCACAACCTCCTTAAAAAAACATGTGCACCCTTTTTGACTGTCATATTACTGAGCACATATAAAACACATGCTATGATTCAAGTCAAATTTCAACTTTTTGGAAAAAAATACGTATTTGCTATCTTGCTGAGAGTGATAGGATTGATATAAATGATGTCTGTTTGTACAGGCCAGCAGGCTGATTTGTTTAGCATAAAGATTGAAACCATGGGGAGAGAGCTAGCCTTGCTCTGTAGGGTAACCAAACCCATCTATAAGCACCTCTAAAGCTCACAAATCGACACACTATATCTCATTTGTTTAACCTGCACAAAAATCTTAGTGTAAAATCATGAATTTGCCATTTTGGGATGGTTATATGCTATGTCTTTGCTTTGAACAATGACCAGGCAACCAATGAACATTTTATGGCCAAGAATAGTCCCACCCATAACAACATGTAAAATGGCAAAATGCTTTTTGGTGAGACTAATATTTCCAGTTGTTGTCATTAGCTTAGCAACCATGGCATTTAGGGTGTTTCTTCAAGATTAATTGACAAATATCAAGGTGGTATCAATATTCTCATCTAAGGTGCTGTTTACACGAGAACGCAAACGGTTGTATCCGCTACTTTTCTCTTTCGTATAGCCCGTTCGTTCATACGAGGCCGTAACGGAAACGGACCCCGCAAACGATAACGGGTCCCAAGGTGGATAGATCTGCAAACGGAATGCTCTGGGGGGCCAAACGGCTCTGTGTGTACGCCCTATACGATCATTTCCTGATAACGATGAAGCCATAGCCAGCCCCACCTCTCCCCACCTCTGCTGCTCACTGCTGTAGCATGGTCAGTAGCTACTGCTACTGCTACTGACCATGCTACAGATGTTAGTGCAAAATCTACAGCTCCTCTACCACAACCATCAGCAACAAGTGGACATGGAGAATTACATGAACTACATGTTGCTAAATCCACCCCGGGGCATAAACAGAAGGGCAACCTTGGCAACCATGCTCGAGGGTCTTCTTCGCTGCTTTTGGTGTATTTTGTGGCGGACGTACAGCGCCACTTACAGGCCCGGCATATGTACTACAGTGTCTCCAGCGCTTTCGAGCGGTCTCGTGCGGAAGTACAGCGCCACTTACAGGCCCAGCATATGTACTACAGCGTCTCCATCGCT